GATAACATTGATAAAAATAGAAAACTACTTGTAATAAAAATCAAATTTAATCATTTCTTTACTAGATATTATTCAAAATCATCAAAAGACTTTTTTAAAAAATAAAAAAAAAAGCACACCAAAATTTTGATATTTTTTAAGAAACTTAATATTTTTAGGCTGATCTATCGACAAAAAGTATAGTTAATGGTGAAAGGAAAGGAAAGTTACGTTTCATGAAGGCGTTTATTCACAAGTCTAGTTTACGTCAATGCTCGACACAGGATTCTGGCTGGATTAAAATATTACAGGGTTACCGAGTAGATAACATTGATAGTCGTAAACTCAATATTATATTGGCTGTTCAGCGCAAACATCTTTAACCCCTTGGTGACGGGTGATTCAGAAAAGCATTCGTGCGAAATCATAATCAAGTTGTAATTAAATAACAAACAGTAACTTAAATGTAGTCGTTGCTAATTTGACAGACTTACTTTGCTTTCATTTTAATTATTGTTAGTTTAATCATACAAATAATAAATGTTAATTCAAAGTATAACTAAATAGTTTTATTTTGAACAAAGTAATGGTGAATTAAATAAATCAAATAATTATAACTCCTCCCACAAATAAACTGTTAAAGTATTACTTTGATTATTAGTTTTATCTTTTTACCCTGATTGATATTGTTTTCTGCTGGCACGTATTTCTGACAGTCGGCGCGAAAGGATTAATAACACAAGATTTGTTTTCTTACAACTTATTAACTTTCATTGAACAAACGTTGTCTGAGAAAGTTAACTAGTGAAACGAATTCCCTCGAATTTGATCCAAAGCGAATTCTTAAGAATATTTTCAAAGCTCAAGAATGGTAGGCATTCTTATTCATGAAATATATTCGTGATATTTGATATTTATCACAGACACGGTTCCGTAAACGTCTCTGTAATGCGAACTCATTCCTTCACGTTGCGGTGGAATAAAAAGAATTTAGGATAATATGAAACGGATTCCATCATGGAAGTATAAAAGTACATTTTGTAAAGTGGTAATTTATCATTCACTCTTTGCCTCTCCATAAAGTCATAAGTTTTGTTCTAAACCGTCGTACAGCCCCAATTCGGCTTTTTCTGCCGTGTGGTGCTTGGAGTAGTATTCCGTTAAAACTAAAATGACCTCCTCTAAAGCTATTCTTGTTGTTTTGCTTGCTTTAGCTACAATCTCATGCATCTTGGCACAATCTCTTGTACAACCAGTGATACTTGGTCAACCTGTGGAGCAGATTCCAAAACCTTTTCGATTTGGCTATGAATTTGGTGATGGATTAGGAATGTCCCAGTATCGACATGAATCTTCTGATGAAAATGGACTTGTTACTGGCAGTTATGGTTACCAGGATCCATATGGCGTGTACAGGAAAGTCCAATACAATGCAGGTGTTGATGGATTTCGTGCCAATATTTTAAGCAATGAGCCAGGACTTGCAAGTCATGTACCTGCTGATGCGACTTATTCCGTTCTACCACCTCCTCCAGCAGCCATAGTTCAAAGTTTCAGAAGAGTACCTGTATTTACTGCAATTCGAAAATGAACATAGTGTATGAATCTAGTGGATTTTCATAACGAAATATTGTGTGTTTTAGGATACGGAATATCATTTCAATGTTACTTGGGGTATGTAATTAAGGAAAATACTAAATTCTGCAGAGTGTGTGGTACAGAATTATGTAATAGTAGAAACATTTTTGAGGCAACTGAATTTCCGATAGGTAGGAATTTTTTTGTAAAATATTGTTCAGTTATTTTTATGTTAGCATTCTGTAACTTTTGATTTTCGAAATTATATACTTAATTTTGATATTCAAAATAAGCTATAATTCATATTTTAAGCTTAATCTGATAATATTTTAGAATAATTTAAAAATTAATAAAATATTTTCTATGTATGTTTGGGAGTGACAATCACATTTATGATGCAAAAAATGGGCTACATTTAAAAGCTTTTTCAACGAAATTTATATAAGTTTACATTTTTTGAACAGTTAGAAGGATTTTTATTAATATTTAAATAATATTTTAATTATTTATCATTTAAATATATTTTTTTTTATTGTCAAGTCTTAAAAGCGAATTAGATGCTCGTTATATTTGGTAATACTATAAAATTATTTTTTTCCTAAATAAATGGAAAGAAAGTATTTGTTTCTTAAGTTAAAACGCCTTAGATTAATTTTAAAATGTAACTAAATGGTAGCAGATGTTACTCACGTTTTAGATAAGTTTACCGTTTGTTTCCAAGTACTTTTTAATTTTCATCTCCTCCTCCCCCTCCCCCCATAAAAAGAACAATTTGTAAATGTTATTGAATTTTCAAAAATAAAAAAAAATTTAAAAAAATCTATTCATTTTATTTGAGTTAGTCAAAAAGTTTTTCTTCGGTTCAGTTTTTATTCAAACATATTGCGTTTTTTAAAAGAATTCTTATTTGAATAAAAGTTAAGACGAATACTTTTAATGCAAATACTATTATTGATAATTCAAAGAGCTTCATAGTTGGCTCTACTTACTATATTGTTTCAAAACTTGGAAGATTATAAAACAGTAATTGAGTGTGTCATTGGCTTTAAAAAAAAAACACTTTCTCAAACGACTTTAACCCTTTGAAGCAGATGGGACACCGGTGTCCCTTTTATATATATATTTCTGACGCCTTAAATACGTGCAAAAAATATTTTTGTAATTTTTAATTTTAAAAAACAGTCTAGTAGTTACTAAAATAATTGTTAGATTATTGGAATTATATTTGTATTGAAATATAAAATCAAAAAACTGTTAATTGAAATTATTTTTCATTCAGATTCAAGAATATATCAATAATGGATTTTGTAAATTAAAGAAATTTTAATGAGGAATAACTGTATCGCTTAGATCTAAATAACTACATATAAGTGCAAATTCAAAAAAATTATTGTTTGGAAGTGAGCAGTGTTTGGAAGATTTTGCATCAAACGCTGTAAAAGATCCTGTGTTTTATGCTGTATTTCAGAACTATAACTTATTAAAATGATAGATGCATTATTTGTTTACTTATTTTGACCTACATTAACACAAAATAATCAAAAAAGCATGAAAAATACAATTAATAAAACTTCTGAGTTAAAGGGCTAACTTTTACCTTTCAAAATGTTTTTCTCCTTAAATGATTCATAAAAGTATACAATATTTTTTGTTATTTCTGGATAAATAAATGTCTCATATATATCTTTAAATTTTACTATTTTTTGCTAACAAAAATAAGCTGTAAAATATTTTTATAAACGTTTTGTTTTCTATGATTGCAATTGTTGATATAAAATGTAATTAATTAAAAAATATGTATGTAATAAATGCTTCATATAAATTCTGCTCATTCATTTATTTATAGTGTTTGAAATTACTTATTATATTATTCTATTTTTCTGTAAGATGCTTAAAAATAAATTTAAAGAAAGCATTGTGCGTTAAAATGCTTAGATTTTTAATGAATCTTTTTGCTTTAGTTAAGATATAAGCCAGTGAAAANGACTAATATTAACTAATATTTTATGACTAATATTAACTAATATTTTATGACTAATATTAACTAATATTTTATGACTAATATTAACTAATATTTTATGACTAATATAAACTAATATTTTATGACTAATATTAACTAATATTTTAAGACTAATATTTTATGCGCCGAAACGACATTACTTTCCGGGCCACCAAATAATTTGTAACTTGGAAAAAAAAACAAAAAGGAAAAATTTATTATATCTTATATTAAAAATTAATACTGTTTCTACTTAGTTTTATAAATAGGTAAGAGACATATATAGTAGGTCAGAGAGGGAAAATATATGAATGAATATGTAAATGAATCTTTGATGATAGAAGCATGAAACTTAGTACACATGTGGCATGCATATGAAACTTTAATTCTGGATGAGAGGTCCTCTCAGGTTTAGCATGGCGGTTTCTGAAAATTTTTAATGCGTTATTTTTAAATATTTCTGACGATTATGAATGATATCTATAAAAGAAACGGCTAAATTTGATATTCTATTCGTGCAGCTATCTGATGTCACATGCGGAAATATATCACACCTGCCCGCTTCGCTCACCGACCCCTTCCATTACTTCTCAATCTTCTCTTGATGATAAGACGATTGTTGCTGTAAAAGTAATATGTATTATTCGATTTTTAATAATAAATGCCTTATTTCAAGGAATTATTTTATTAAAGGTATGAGTTAATTAGTGGTAATGGTAAAGTATTAATACATATTTTAACAATAAATCTAGGAATGATAGAAAACAAAGATATGTTTTCGTAAGAATTGATGCATAAGGTATATTTTGATAACAATCTTATCTATGTTATCATAACTGATACCTGAAAACTCTCCTACTCTTCTCTGTACGTTTCCTCCCTTTTTAAGGAAAATGAAGGAGATTTAAGGGGGGGAACTGAATTATTTCTAGATAAGAAAATGAGGCATATTTTTTCAAGCTGAATTGCAGGAGACTAAACCCGAGATGATCAGACTAATAGTTCAGAAGAAATTTGAGTTTTATGTACAAAAAGTACAAACTTGTACTTTTCCTATTTACGCATCTGATATTACTATCTAAACAGATGAGACATTGTTTCCGACGTAATTTTTACACTAAGTCTAATGAGACTGTAAACAAGTCAATCGAACAGACAGTTCAAAAGTTGCAAGAGTTTTTATGTATAAAAAGTACCTATTTAGACACGTACTAATGTATTCATTCTACATTGCTATCCTGGAACTACTTCAGAGAGTAAGGTGCGTTTTTCAATGTAATTTTTCTCACTAAATTGAATGCTATCAATTTTGATTCGATCAAATAAATAGTGTAGAAATTATACATATTTTCTTTATAATAAGTATAACTCTAAAACAGTCTTTATACACAAAAATAAATTAAACTTTCAAAATGTAATCATTTTGATTGGTCTCATTCGCTGACGAGAAAAAAATATACCAGTTAAATTTGCGTGATTAAATGCAAGTACAAAATTGTACTTTTTGCACGCAAAACCCTTTTAACTCGTAAACTATTTATCTTATCGATCTCAGATTTAAATCATGTAATCAGCATGAAAAATTGCAACGGAAAATTTATCTTACATGTTTAAATAGTTACGGATTGTAAAGTGTATGGATAAGTACGTGTTAAAAGAAGTACCTTTAATGTACATAAAAACTCATTCAATTCTCGAACCATTTATTTTATCGACTTTCATGCAGTCCAGTTTAATTCAACATTAAAAATATACATCAGAAATAATACCTCACTTGTTTAGGCAGCAATGCGTGAATACCTTTAATCTGAGGGCGTCATCCGCGAAATTTATTTTGGCGTAAAATAATGAACGTTAATTTTAAATAAATAAATATTTAATTAGCGTGATTCAATGATTTTACGGTAATTGTTACTATAAATATTACTGTAATATGAAGATTTATTCTGTAACTTGTTCCGGCTAAAATGGATTTAACGGAACAATGTACCGTCTTCTGGAGTGCCGTACATTTTACCGTAACTTAGTCCAAAATTTTTTTTACAGTGTACGAATATAAATTACACGTTTTGTACATAAAATCCATATACGTTCTAAAATGTTAATCCGATTGCCTCGAAATTAATTACATTCAATTCAGCAAGAAAAAAAATAGAAAACAATTTCTTTATTGTCTTTCTAGAAGAAATTCAATTCCCCCTTTCAAATCACCCCCACTTCCCCTAATGAGGGAAGCGTACAGAAAAAAGTAAGGGAGCTCTCAGATACCATTCTAAATATCATAACAATTTTTTTGTAAAAGCAATTTCTTGGGTGGCAATTATTCTGGAAAAACAACCTTGCTATAATTACTAGGCTAATTATAAAATAAGTGTAAGTACTTTAACATCAATTTTTCCACAAAATATTTAAATAAATGTATTATTAATGAAATATAGTGTATATTATTAAAAGAAGAACAATATTTTTTATGTAACGACCTGCTTATCATCCATAAACCAAAATAATTGAGAAATAATAGCGAGGAGTCGTTGAAGGAAGCGAGCAGATGCCAGATATAGCACCAAGTGATAACATTGATTAAAATAGAAAACTTGCAAACAAATCAAAAACAATGAGTGAGGAACAATGCAAAAAATATCGAATTTAATAATTTTTTTAATAGATATCATTCAAAATCATCAAAAGACGTTTTTTTTAAAAACGTATCAATATTTTGATATTTTTAAGGAAAATAAATATTTAAAGGCAGCATTTTGAACGTCAGCTGTTATTGTTATGGCCTAAATCTGAGATGGCTTCCAATCCAAAATTGAAGCTTCATATGTGTGTACCATGTTTTATTCTTCTATCATTACAGGCGCGATTGTTTCCCCTATCCGCAGTACTATATCACGATTTTAATAAACTTTGTTTCCATTATTAGAATTCGTATTTAATACTTTTCAGTCGGTGAAAACAATAAGCTTTGTTCACTCACGAGAAGTGTAAAAGGAATTTTATTCAAATTTCGCGAAACAGAGGAAATCGGAATTCACTTCCACGAGAAACGAATGCCATTTTTCTTTTGTCTTGGCTCACTGAAATCTTATTGTTACCATAAAGTTGAATTCTAGGAAATAATAACATTTTCTCAAAAAAAGAGGAAATACTCTACTGTATTGAAAGGGGACATTTTTATGACTTTGATTCCGGTTCCACACTGTAACAGAAAATAAT